TGGCTGCGAAGAGAAACACATTCATTGCTTCTAATTATTTTCTCTCAGGAATGTAGCAGCAATTTGTCAGTCGGGCAGGGAGCAGCACTTACAAGATGGACTACTGAACGTGGCTAAATCTATCATTCCTAAGATGACCATGGCTTAGGCACCATCATTAACCAGCAACCTCAGGAGTAGCCTAAAATTAACATTCCCATACAACTACCATCATTAAGACAGGACAATAACCAAACCTCCTCCTTATAACTTTTTTTTACAGGTCTTATTAACTGTATGGACTGTGTACTGTTGGTATTCTCCGAGGCCTTCGGTATTGACCTGTAGGTGTCTATCCCGTCCCTCACTGGGCCCTCGTCGGCTCTTCCTGCATCTGGGCCGTTGCGCTGGCTGTGTCCTTGTGTGCGTCGGGTGTGCATCAGTGGCATGTGGAGCAGGCGGCCGGAAGCGAGCCTCCCTGTCTCCCCAGACTGAACAGTGAATGAGGATAAGTGAGGAGCGCCAGTCAATGAATCAAGCAGCAGGAAGGGAGCAGCCAGGGGGAGAGTGTGACGTCCCCACGGGAGAGGCCTCGCATTAGGAACTTCCTCGTCTGTGTGTTTCTGGCACAGGTTAAATGGATCGCTCCCATTAGCGTGCTGAGAGGACAGCTCCATTATATGAAGGAGACTGTAACTTTGAATGTCACGGTGCAACAACCCCAGAGCACGCCTCGTCTCCCAGGGAGGCAGGGTGACAATAACCATCCATGATAATCATTCCCTGTCAGGCTTTAAGGAACCTGAAATTATGACGTACAGCCTGCCATGTGCCTCAGACTTCATTACAGCGCTGTCACTTTGAGACGCCGGCGACGGCACGGCGCTCTACAGCCGGTTGCAGCACTGTGGCTGCCAAAACCCAGACTCACTCTCCTCCTGTCTAAGTGGCATGTTTACAGGATGTGTGCCCCCCTGCAGATAGATGTGGTGGAGGTCACCTGCACAGTTCCTCTCTTCCTCCATAGCATAGGCGATGTCTCATGAGAACATATGCTGAATTGTTTACCAATGCTAGAGAAAATAGACTGATCAAAGGCCAAACAGTGACAACTTTCCCTCCTTCCATTGTGACAAATGGTAATGTGGAAATTAGAATTCAGCTGCTCGTGCAGACAACAGGTTTGCCTTTTAACTTCAATATCTTTAGTACCTGTAGAAATAATCTCCCCAAAGCACATTGCTGTTTATTTACGTTGATACTTAAGTTGAAAGCATGTTTACAGCAGCCTGTTAATCAGCCAAGGAGAGATTCACCTCCACAGTGACCTCTGAACCTGCCATCCAGTGGAGAAGACATGAGCTGGCAGGCATTGCCAATGTCAGCGCCCAGAGCAAACTCCTTCTTCCTCACCGCCTGACTCACTCATTGGCTTTGTGGCCCCTTCTCCTTGCCACCTCCAATCACAGTGCCCTGAATGACACACAGAGGAGGAAGTGGGCCCACTAAACGCCCCTCCTGTTCCTATAACCTGCATAGCAACAGGCCAAATGTGCCTTTGCTGTAAAAGGATAGAATTGAGGGTTTCTCTGCAACGCATTTATGAAAGGGATTGTTTTCATATAATTAGGTGTTCATGATGCTGCGTGTGAGAGCCAAACTACATTTGTCAGGGCTCCTTATTAGATAGACACACACACTCTAACACACACACTCACAGAACATGCTTTGGTTGTGTTGGCTGAGTTTCTTTTGGAAGTTTGTGATTTATAATATGTCTTTCTGTGAATCTGTTTCTTTATTGACTTATTAAAAAACCTTCTAAAAGTATGCTGCAGAGTTTCTGACCAGTAAATGCAAAGTAGATAAATCATTTGTTTTTCTAGCACAGGCATGAGGACACACTTGCACACCACAAGCATGGTGTTGATGTGGTACACATTTCTGCTGACTGAAGAGGGTATTGCATTTTTGCAATAACACGCCACAACAGTAGCATGGCGGACAAATAAGAGAGGCAAAATGTATCGCTGGAAGATTAAAACAAAGCAGGTTTCAAATGGTTTTTCTTCTAATTTGTATTTGGTGGAACATACTGTACACAATCCTTTGAGTAAAGAAACGTCCAAAGATCAGTAAACAAAACTGTGTTTGTTTCCACAAATAATTCTCCAGGGTAGTTTAACAGTAAATATTCCTCCTGAAATAGTTTTGACCTCATGTAGTTTTTAGATATAGGATTTTAACCATTGTGCGGTAAATTTAAGTTAACTAAGTATCAGAATTACACTTTAATGAACATTTCTAGTGGGCTTCATTGTATTTAAAAGGATATATAATGATTATTATGGTTGTTTATGTACTGCATCTTTAAAGTAGCTTTGAAGATCTGAGGTTTTCATGACAATTCACAGTGCCAGATAAATGTAGACTTTATCAGTTCCCCAGCCTGTGACAGCAGACAGCTCTTGAGTATCTTCAGTGTGGTCTCTGTGGCTAGCATTGGGCGAAAGCACACATTTATAGTAAACACTCTCTCTCACGCAGACCTGTGTGTCTTTCACTTCCTTTGTTAAAAACATTTTGCAAAGCAGATGGTGGTTTACAACTTCAAGATCTATGGGTCGCACTAAAGACACTCAGGCTATTTTTTTCAATTATGTGTCCCATTTTATATGAAATAATTTGCCTATTATTAAATAATAACTGATTGTTCCAGGCTCCCCTAAAATAGTCTGTGAATGTCTGCATGTTGTGTCTGTAACAATGCTTGACAAACAGCCAGGAAAAAGCTGCTTATTTGCTATTTCCTTCTAATACAGTTTCCACTAAGCACACCAGCTATGTTCCTTACATGGTCTAAGAGGTTGTCTCACCCATCAAAACAAAGAGCCAGTTAACTGCTTGATACAAGCTTTTACAGTTGCCTTGCTTGCAGCACCTTGAGACCACGGCTCTTTAATGAACCATCAGCCCTTGCTGGCATCCATGTCATTTGATTGAATTGTAAAATTAAGACTGGATTACTGTTTATTTTCTCCTTGCGTAATGTCACAGTTGGACAGAACAGAAGCTTTTGGCCCTGAGCACTGGAACAATGCTAGAGCTGTATCACAGACTGCTGGCCCCTAGGTGACTGTTTCCCTCTTTCTGCTCCATGGAGTTGATATTAGTTATGTGTTTCTGAGTGTATGTCTATAGGAGGCTGAAGGGCTTATTTGTTTTCCCCCCTCGTTGCTCTTTGACTCGTTTCCCCTCAAACGTGTCTGAAACATTGTTATCTCCGGCCAGACGCCTTTTTTACAGAGAGTTATTGAATCATGTCAACTCGCCGTCCCCCGAGTTTCAAATGCAAGCTGTAGAAAAATTAGCCATTGCTTCTGCATGACAAGTGGGATCTATTAGTGTGCTATCGCCCTGCAAAGCATGAGCATCCGACGGGCCGCTGGGGACCACGGCTGGCTGCTGGGGACCACGGCTGGCTGTGCGCTCGTCCGCGTCAGGCTCCTGGGGCATTAGACCAATGTTGCAGACAGGAGAAACAGCCGGAGCCACAGCAAGAACCAAAGTGGCTCACTCGATGAGTTGACACCCGAAGGGGCGAGGAAAGGCAGCATGAGCAGTGGCAGCCCCGCTCCACCTCAGCCACCGCCAGGTCTGACTCACAGCGCTCAGGCTTGCAACTTGTTTGATAAGCAGTTTGCAAAAACACACAACACTGCTTGTTCCTTATCTATGGTTTATCAAATATTTTCTACATCTACTCGTTTATATTGTCTCTCAGCTTGAGGTTTATATTAAACTGGTGAGTTTAATTGTAGGAAGACTAAAGATGATTATGATTTAGATCCCTCATCTTCTACGCCTCAGTGCTGATTTAATTGCAGCGCCGCTTGCTAATATGTTTGACCTTACTCTTATATGCAGTATAATTCTACATATATGGAAGGTTGTCTCATTGATTAAAATAATTACCGTCCAAATTCAAAACTACCTGCTTGGCTAAATGATTGGACTCTTTAATGGACTCCAGCACAGGCTTGTCTGGAAGTAATATTAGCCTTTAATGGCTGAATTTAGACAATGACATGACCCTGTTACTGCCTCGTGACATTGTCAGTGCTCTGCCTTTTATTACTTATTAAAGCTTTCGAGATCATGAACGTTTGCAATTTTTCTTGAAAAGGATAACTAGTCTATGATTTTCTGTCTAGAGGGGTTGATTTTAATGGTGCAAAAATATTATTTTATCAGGAAAGGTGTCACACTAAGGTCTGTTTTGGGTCTTTTTAATTTTCCTAGTAAATGACTCATTAATATAATCCGAAGTTACTTTGCCTCTGTGATTATTTCAATTTGATTGTAATGCTTTTGATTCTCTTATCAATCACAATCTTCTTAAAATAATAATAAACCATTCACAGCTTCCTTGTCTTTTAAATGTGCATGCAAATATGTTCCTGTTATTCTGACTTCATTTGTCTTTGATTGTTTTGATTTATGCTTATGTGTTGTGCTTTTTTTATATGTTTTTTGTACATTATTGTATACATTGAAAATAGATCCTAATTTCAATGAGACTACTTGATTAAATAAAGGATTAAAACACCAACATTGAGATCAAAGTGCCTCCATCCAGCTCTGGGCCAAAGGCTTAGTCATGTGCTCAGGTCCAATCAGTGTGACTGCCCAGCAGAATTAGCATTCCAAATGTAGTTTGTTTTAGTATAATTTTGTATTCATTGCCCGCAGAGGATAGAGTTTCACCACCTTGTCGTGGATGTTGATGTAGCATGGCCTCAGGTCAGACACCAGCATACACAAATAATTGCCCTGGGCCTGCCACCTCGGTGACCTTGGACAGTGACAGTCTGTTGGACCACAGGGTCTACCTCTTCATCATCACCATCCTCACCCTCAGTTAGCCTTAAGCAGAGCTCCGTATAAAATATATTTTGTGCTACATATTTTACCGTTGTTTCCTATATATGCTTAATGGTTTCTTTGTTTTCTCTTTACAGGTATCTCAGTAACAAAGAAGACACATACCTGTGAGTACAAATGTTTTTTTGTAATTACTTTTCATTTCTGTTGTGCTACAATTTGAGGCTGTGAAAGTGTTGTTTGATTCTCAGAAAAGCTCTTCACACTAAATGGGAAGAAACAAATGTGCTGTGTTTCAATACAGTACAGTTGATAAGATCACCTTGGTTCTATCTCTGCTGACTCTTCTTTCATCAGTGCCTATATGCATATTGTAGCCTCACTAGTATTGCAATAAACCAATCCCTTCAATTATATCCGTGCCATCCGCTTCACTCTTTCGTATTTTTCTATCCTGGAGAGAATTTGATGATAACCCCAGAGGAAATTAAAATGCGATGCAGTCTCATGACTGTTTGATAATCATGCACAGTTAAATCAGACACTGTGCTGAAGCACCTCTTTGTTTTCTGCAAGGCCTTGCAGCTGAGCAACGCGGATGTGGTGTTGTGTGGTGGTTTGCAACTTCTAAGGCTGCATTAACTACCAAGAGTTTGTATTCTTCAAGCACAGATCATATCACTGCAATTGAAAGATACATACACAGTATATGACACGTCTCACATGTGAGATACAAGACTTCTTTGTGCACTACGAAAATAGTACACAGGCTTACGACTTGTCTAACCAACACTGCCTTTTCAATTTTAGTCAGCTCATGAAGAATTGATGAACAGACAAACCTGTAGAAATCAATGATTTCCAGGAGATTTGTAGTGTATTCTGACACGTGTGAAGTGCAATCGAAAAGTCAGGTAAAAATGCTTTTGTGTAGTGCACTGCAGTGTGTCTGTGTATGTGTGTGTGTACAGCTATGTGTGTGTGTTCATACCCCACTGTGTGAACGGAAGAAACTAGCCCTGAAGGCTATACTCTTTCCCTCTGATCACTCTGATGAAACTTCTGGAGACGGGAAGGCCAGAGGGCTTTTCTGTAAGAGCGGTCGGAGTGTTTCAGATATTGCGAGAGGCTGCATCTCGCCCCCTGTAAAACACCCCTGCTCTTTCTTACATCAGACAGAGGGGCAAAGGATATGATCTTCTACGCTAGACAGCTCTACCTTACTCAAACAGCCCATCAAAATAGCAGCATGATTGTGTGTTAAGCTATTTGCTTGTATGGAGGGTATGTGGTATTTAGGTTTTTGTGTGTGTGTGTGGCTGTGTGTGTCTGTGTGTGTGTGTGGGTGTGTGTGATGTGTGTGTGGTGGTGCTGTGGGTGTGTGTGTGGGTGATGTGTGTGTGTGTGTGTGTGTGTGTGTGTGTGTGTGTGTGTGTGTGTGTGGGTTGTGTGTGTGTGTGTGTGTGTGTGTGGGTGTGTGTGTGTGCTGTGGTGTCGCTGTGTGTGTGTGTGTGTGTGTGTGTGTGTGTGTGGGTGTGTGGTGTGTGTGTGTGTGTGTGTGTTTGTGTGGTGTGTGTGGTGTGTGTGTGTCAGAATATCTTCAAGGTAGAACAGAAACGCTTGACCCCACATTCCACCGCTCCACTATCTTAATTAGTGCAGCACTAAGCACCTCTACACCGGAAGGGGGCTCATATCAAAGAGCATGATTTAGGTGTCTTGGGTTCAAAGCCCTGGGCAGAGACTGGACTACGCTGTCTCATATCAGTGAGAAATATTCAAATCTTGTCCATGTGCGGAAATCAAAGTAAAGCCCCTTAACAAGTAGTTGATTGCTGTGCCTCACAGACAGGAAGCGGCTGTTAAACCTTGTCAGAGTTGTGTGCACAAGAAGAAGTTCAAGGGGCCAGTTAATGGCCATTGAGAATATGGAGGGGAGGTCTTTCTCAGAGAAGCCTAGTGATTAAATGGCTGCTGGAGTAATAATAAGGGACACCGCTCTGCCCTAATAATCGGGCTGTAGATCAATTTCCAGTGCACACTGCCACTCGTAATGTGAGCTTGGCAGTCATGCTTTTATGTGCATGTGTGTGCAAGTGTGTGTGTGTTTTAGGAGGTCTTCCTAGTCCAACCCAGACCACAGGGATGGGCCGTGTCTCTGACTAACTCCCCACTCTGCCTGAGTGATCAAACTGCTGGAAGCTCCCCGCCATGCCAGTCCCCTCATCAATATAAATTACAGGGGCAGCTGTTCACTGGCAGCCTCTCCTCTCCTCTCCTTTTCCTATCCTCTCCTTTTCCTATTTGCTCCTTTCCTCTCCTCCTTCTTTTTCCTCTTCCATCCACCAGGCTGGACTAATCACCAAGCCATCAGAAGGTGAAGCATGCTAGATGAAAACAGATACTTATATCATTGTGCCAATGACTGTGCTGTCGTCTCCCCACTCTGACTGTTAAAAGGACTTCAGTAGATTTACAGTGTGAGGCATCACCCTTTTTTCTTTCTCCCTTCTCACTTGTTTTTTTACTTCACCATAACGGGTGGTCCCTTGCCAGCTCTGTCTTTAACCACAAAGCTATAGTTCTCAGCAAGAAGTCAGCTGTGGTTTTCCTGTGAAGTTCTCTGACAGTTCTATATATGCTCTGTTGTATTGACTTAAGTAGAAATGGATGTGTCCCTTAAACTGCCTGGGACATGGTGATAGCAAAAGATCAAGGGCTTAGTTTTTGCATTGTAGTTTTACTTTGACGCCGGACACCAGATACACAGTGTCACCTTCTCCTACCTCAGCGAGGCAGCGTTGCTTATAGATGAGTGTCTGTTTGGACCTGTTGAGAGATATGGTGTGGAGCGGAGGATCAGATGCAGCAGCTGATTACTCTGAGATTATACGTCTCCCCTCTAATCTACCATCAGCAGTCTGGGACTCTGTCTCACAGCTCGAGAAGCAGAGCGCTAGCTAACGCTCTCACACAGGTCGTGTAGCCAGGATGCTCTTCCACGAACAGAGCAGATCTCCTGATTACCAACAGCTAATCCTCTCTCTCTCTCTCTCTCTCTCTTGCAGCTGTAGATGTACAATATACTGATGTCTGACTGACTATGATCAGTATATCAAGTTGCTTGTTTTTTTAAAGTATGCTTTATAACAGACTTGAAAATACATACAACATAAAAGTTTGCAATGCTAAACAAAACCTTACAATGTTTTAAGAAAACTTGTCCTGAAAACTATTGAGCTGAATTTTCAGTATTAACTCGTGCTGAAAAATGTTAGCATCCTAAACACACTTTAAATTAAACAAATATAATTCAAACAATATTCATTCATTGTCACTGTATTTTATTTTATTATATTTCACCGTGTCATTCTGCCAGTTCACTGTAGTAATGCGTGCTATACTGTATGTAGTGTGTGCTTGAGTTTAGTTTAGGAAAAGAGTGGCCAGAGGGAGGCAGTAGTACAAATGTAACTCCGGGAAGAGAGAAAAGAGACGGATGAGGCTTCCTCTCTGCAGTCTTACAGATACGTTGTAGAGGGTCCCAGTTTTTTCACCCTATATTTATCTCCATTTTGGTGACAGTCTCCTTACACTGATTGAGAAACATGGCCTCGCTCCTGCATCTTCATTTATTTGCAAGCAGCCTCTATTGAGTTTCTCTCGTCAGTCTCACATAGCAATAACACAACCAGTCTGTGTTAAAGGAACTAGATGATTTCGATTATTTTGCACTGTCTTCGAAAAACAGAGTGCAGAGTTATAGTGCAATGATATCAGTCATTGAGCATACTCAACGTTATAAAGCAAGAGTTTGTTGATTTCATGTCTTTATGCATTTGCGTTTTCTCTCATAAAAGTAGTGTATGTTTGGAACAATATACTAACAGCATTATTCATCTCAATAATACTCTTTGTGATCACATAGCTCAATGGCAGCTTTTCCCTCCGTAAAGCATCTGAGAATGTGGAATGCATTGGCTCTGCGAATTATGATATTTTCAGTTAATCAAACATGAGATTTATGGTGCTTAATAGTGCTGTACATTGCCAATTTAGGAGAATAATATGTCCCAGTTGCTGTCTAATTTTGCTTGGCAACAGGCGCACTCCTGTGGAATCGCCTGAAGCGGTGTGAGTTGTCTCTGCATAGCTCAGTGTTCCATGCTCAGTGGCTGTTTGAAGGTATTTCATCACATTGTTGCCTTGATTCAGCTCTGTGGGGATTTGTTAGTTGCACTCATGTGGGAAGTGCATCCAGTACATTGTTAAGCTATGGCTGATAATGAAGATCAGCCAGCCAGAGTCCCCTGAGCTACGCACAGAGAGAGATAGTCTGGTGAGACGCACAGCACAGACATAGTGGAGCAGGACGAGCACACACAGCAGTACACACAGACGCAGAGGAATCATCAGCACAAAGCATACAACACTGAGCTGTGCTGTAGTGTATTAGAGAAAGAAACACAATACAATAGCGAATTAGATTATTATCATATATGTTATACTCTGTTGTTCTTATACGAAACATTACTCAAAGTTTGTAAAATTGGAATTATTATGTTTAAAGGTTGTTTGAGCAACGATGACAATATTTTAATGTTGTATCCTTTTTTGTTAGGATTGAAATTGGTAGTGCGAGGCCCCAGTAAGCACAGCCACTCTTCGTTATTTGATTCTCAGCATGGTACCAGAACTCCTTGTTTCCTTTTCTCCCAGAGCAACATTGACCGCTTAAATTGACACAATCTTTTTCTCCCTCTGTACTGTAGGTTATGTTTCATCTTACTCTATTTGTTTGTGCCACGAAAAGAGTATTCTTTTTGGACATTTTGGTATAATCTATAATAGACAGCTATTTTTTTTCTGAAATAGGTCAGTGTAATCACAACAGTGAGCGATGGACAGTCACTGTAAAAGGGAAATCAATAGAGCTATCTATTTGTCGTAAACCAGGCCAGCGTGATTTTTCTCAATTCGTCCTCTGCTTCCATACTCTTTCCTCTCCAACACAATATGGCAGGTTGTCGTTTTTCAGTATTTGCAATTTTGTAAAATTGCAAATGGCCTTTGTACATGCCTCTTTTCTTTTTGCATATGTTTCTCTGGGTATGGAAGCTTCTTTTTTGTATCACCTCCTGGGGGCCCAGGGTGTTTTATAAGGAGG